ACACCAGCCCATCGTTGAGATGAACGTTTTCCCCTACTTTGAGTTTGCTGAGGCCCTCACACCACTCCTCAACACCAAGCCCATATTAGCTTGGCAGTCACCACGTTTCCTAGCGCATCTCGAACGTCCAGTCTTGTCGCCACGCTGTCTGCCCGACATGGCGGAGCCCCATACCGAACCTCTGGAGATCAGCATCACGTTGGCTAGTGTCCGCTTTGGTAAACTCAGTGGGTGATCTTCAGGAGAGTGAACGCGACACGTTGACAGCCGCGCAACACCTCGCCTATAATTCACGAAAATAACGCCGGCCGCATACTTCTAGACGCGCTTCGACGTTGGCACAGTTCCTCAGCGTCCGCTATCAACAGCCGGACTCTAAAGCTCTGCATTATGATCGACCAGAAAGCTACGGAGCCATCTCCGCTCAGCTGTCATGGTCGATCACGTCTTGGCCGAGCCTCCGTCGAATTGCTCGCCTTATGGTTAAAGTTCGATTGCCTCGGGGACACCTTTCCTATTTTATATAGAAAGCCGGTATACTAAAGTCTTTATTCTAGCGGGCACGCAGCCTCACTTGCTGACAGGGCCTTCGAACCCTAGGAATACGGTTCTTCTCCAACTAATCATGCGATTTCTACGTCATATGTCCCCGACCGCAGCTGCGACGGAGTTATCCGCGACACTTTGTGAGAATAAAATTCCGCCCCGTCGCCTGAACCATACTATGTTATCAAGGTTGGAGACAGTATGGTTCACTTCGTACAACGGACGCATCTCGAATCGAAAAGCCGATTTGAGCTATCGGTCCTTCGTCATGTTGCGCTGGTTTCACAATTCTACTTAGCTAGAGTGCAGTAGTACTAGAAGCGTGAAATGGCAAGTCCCGTTCGCTAACCACGCACCATGCACGACTCGGCAGGTATCCTCATGGACCCTGAATCGCTGGTCGTCTGTTTCTTCGAACATCGTCTTACTCCGGCGACCAAATGCTCAGCAGTGACGATATTGATCAAGGATGCTGAGGGTATCACCAGAACCATTCATCCATCGGCTTTGTTCGGGAGATTTGCCCGTGCCACCGGTAGAGATTCCGATCCGATACGCGGCAGTTCTCATCGGACTCGCATCCGAGAGCCATGATTCGCCCAAATTACCGCATTCAGTATCGTACAGATCTAGTCGCGAAATCCATCGATATGTGTGCTGCGCTCGACAGGCCCCACAAGTGACCACATCCATCGCGTGGGCATGTCTTTGTCCTGGTTTCTAAATGCGATGCAAAACCTGGTAATACCTGCATCGACTATCACGCCACCAATCTCACTCACTGCCCACGGCAATCTCCACGCACCACAAGTTGAGATCTTACAGGCGGGACGTCCCCCGAGCGATCGAGGGTGTGAAATCGCTGCTAACGATCTTCACGCATGGAACCCAAATGCGGGGTTCCACTAGTCAGCGCACCCCCTTGAACAACTAGGTCGGATCACCAAAACCTCAAATCGTCGGGACTTTAGTTCCGCATCAGGATCTCTGCTCGCCTTGCTGCCAAGTGTACACGTTGCCGGGAGGGTCTATACCCGGGAGCGCACTGGTATGAAAAAGGAAACATGATGCAGCCACGATAGACTACGCGTGGGTTAGCCATCACGACCTAAACTCGTCTACGCGTCTTACTACCAGGGGATGTGACCATGACTTGTAGATTAGGAATCTACAAACCAAACCATCTCTTACGACTACAATATTACAGTGCAAAACTAGGTTTTCCGGCTTCCCCACCCCCTGGATCATCCCATCCACGCTTGCCCCACGAGCACCACATGGATAGTTCAGCATCCGAAAATCCGCAGCACAAACTACGCTCGACACCCTGCCCTTGCTGAATCATCTCATTCTCAGAAAATAGCATCGGTTCTGTTGTCTACAACGGGTACTATGTCCGTTTACCAAACGCGTGGGAACCTAGGTGATATATACACTTTCGACATTACTCGGGGTCGCTATCGTTCTCAGATAGAGTGCTCACCAAAACCTAATGGTGATCCGTGAGAAACCTTTAATCTTTGGGCATACGCAGCCCAAAGCACTGCCGACGAGAACTGTGCGAATAATGCAGTGGTCATCGATGGGGCTCTCCAGTGTACTCCTTCGCACCCATATCTCCGTTGAAGGATTCTTCCCCCAGTTGCGATTTGCGATCAGATCAAGATCCACGGCGATTTCGACCGCTCCTATCGCTTTACTTCAGGATGCGATCCTTTCATCCTTCGATCTTGCCAGGGCAGTAACGCCGCAGCCGATACAGGTGGTGCCGCATGCGGCAAATCGGCAGTAGACATCAAGCCTATGTTCCGCTGTCGGCTGCCCTGGCATAACATTCGTCTCGACCGTCCGTCACACATAGACACTCACTCGAAAAACACCTTGACGCGCACCACATTCACAGAATCTTCGATAACTAAGTTCCGACTGAGATCAGCATTCTTGATTATTCGAATACTAGACAAGTCTTCCTGGACCACATTTCTTAATCCGATCCCTCCGTCAACTTCCCTGCCTGCCTTCCTTCCTCAATGAAACTTCGCACTAACACCCCCATACCTCACCCCATCAACCTTCAATTCAAACACCAACCCCGCACTCTCACACCGCATATCGAGCGTAAAATCCAGATTATCAAACTCCACCCCCTTCGTCGTCGTCAATCGCGTAAACAAGCTCTTCGGCACCGTGTTCAAGTCCGTGGTCAGTGTACAGACATTGATAAGACCCTTCTTAAAGGAGTCGGGCGCTGTGTCCGCGTCGCAGGCTATGAGGTCGTCTTCTACGATGAGGGACTGACCGGGCCGGAAGTTGCGCGTGTAGTGGAATGATATAGGTCTGTTTTCGGAGACTTGTGCGCCCTGCGTGGGAGGTCAGTATCTTGTGTGACTTGATGGAGACAGTGGTAAGGGTGCGTACCTTTGCGATGTGCCATTGCATTCGATCCGACACCATCCATCGCTCCCAGAGCGGACTCCAATACCGATCGGATATGGGATGCTTCGCCTCGTCGAAGACCGTCGCATAGCTCGTACCATAGTGCCAGCGACTTCGTCTGCTAATGACCATATTGCCTTCTAGCCCGCGGAGTACTGCGCCTCGCACCACTGCTGTCCACGCATGTATCGGGTGGTATATCTCGACTGCCTGTGAGGCATTCAATGCGACCGCGTGCGTTGGTCTTTCGGTATAGGGAGGTGGAGGTGCGCTATTGAAGTGGGACTTCATCCGACCGTAGAGGTAATTGCTCTGCCCGAAGCCTCCCACCAGGACGATTCCGCATACCAGACCTCCCTTTGCTCTTATGCTGTGGACTTGACCCTCCACCAGATCTATAACTTCTTGAACTACCGGATCAAATAGTTCCTTGACTTGCTCCGCACTCATGACAAGGAACCCAGAGTCAAGCCCCGCTTCCTCGTCGTCTGGTAAACCTGGGAAGGGTATGTTGACCTCATTGTGTTCCTCCTCGTTGAAGTTGCGCTTCACGAACTCCTCAAAGTACTTCAAGCCCATGTTCCAAGTCTTCATCTTCTTCTCGCGCATCCAGTTATAGCGTTCTGCACCAATGCGCTGCTTGACATGTTCTTCGAAGCGATAGTTGATGAACGTCGAGCCACAAAGACCGCCAGTTCCGACTGCTGATTCCTCGACGCGAAGAGGATGCAGTTGGGTGATCTTGTAGGCTATCAAGTCGACAGTACCGCCACCAGCGTCACAGACGACAAAGTTGTCGCCAATCTTCAGATGGTTCGGTTGTATCGCCTTTAGAGTATATACAGCCGCAGCCTCCGGTTCTGATATAAGCTTCAGCTCGTGCCTGTTGCCCATACCAGCTTTCTCCGCAGCCTTCAGCGTGGCATCCTTCGCCGAGTCTGACCACACAGCAGGGACTGTCAAGACAAACTCAACCTTGGTCAAGCTGATGAATGTCTCTCCGTATCTCTTTGTCAAAGTCTCCATTGTATGTTTGTATATCTGCGACAGATAGTCCGAGACTGCCTCCATGACCGTCTTCTCGAACTTGCGCAATTGCGCAGCGGTTTCGAGCGGCGATACAAAATGCGGTAGCTTCTGGTTCCTGTCGAGGAACAGCTTTATACACCGGAGACGCGTCTCCTCTGGCTTGAATTGGAACCCCCATTTTATGTTCTGCGCAGGTTTCGCGGGCGCATCGAGCGAGGAGACCGAGCCGTTGCGGGATGGTGGTTCGCTGTAACCGATTTCGGTGGGGACTTTGTCGGACGTGATACCTGCGCGTACATGTCAGTTCGTGGATGCGCATTTGGTCAACCCAAGTACAACATACCGTTCCCGCCAGGCCACGTCTTGATGATGTCAATGTCGTCAGGGGTCGCACTGTAAACGGCAGCCACACCTATCGAGCTTCAGCGTCCAATCGTATCGGTCGCATATCGTGGAATAGTTGCTACCAACCGCTGTAGGTGGTTCCAAAGTCGACACCGACGACCAACCTATCCTTCGTGGTACTACCCACTTCAGGTACGCTGCCTATGTCGATTGTCGCATTGCTCCCCGGATTGAAAGTATACGGAATGCTACTTCCTCGATTGGGAAACGTGTGGTTCATGGCCATTCTTCGGTGTGTTGATCTTTGTTGTTTATAATGCCGGCTTCGGCAGATCGCGTGGCTGTCGCGTGGGTCGGACCGCGGGGCTGAATCCTACGAAAAGCACAAGAGTATCATGGGCGTGGACGTGGATACGGGGAAGACGTTGAGGTCATGAGTGTGTCTGCCTGAAGGACATGCGAATGATTCAGGCACCGGCGGAAACCTTGCGCGGTGTGATGTCGAAGCCTAGGAACGGCGCGCGCTACCCACTGCTGTAGGAGTCGCCCAGCTGCGGGCCCTGGTTGGTGATCGTCAGCTCGCGCAAGGCTGCAGCATTCAGCTCGCCCAGGCACACTCGTGTCGTCCCACGTGAAGCCATCCGATGGTGATATTCTTCGAGAGGGGTGTGGAGGTTTGGGTCTTTGAAGCCCGATTTGAAGTTGGTTCCGATGCGCCCTTAGGTCGGAACGCGCCCGGTCCCAGCTATGACCGAACCAAAGAGTTCTGGCAAGCCTCAGCACTCCGACCGCACGGTCTTAACATGTATTAATATACTCAGAATCTACCCACCGCCTCAGCGTGAAGCGTGGTACCAGACTCATCTCGCGATCAACGAAGCCCTCCGCGAACAACGTCGTTACTCCACCGAAAGCTGCCGTAGCCGCTCCCAATGCGAGGAAAGACGAAGTACATCGACGCCGATACCCCTTCAATGATATGCTGAAGCGCAAAAGCGAAGGTGCGGTATATCTCGAAAGAGACACTGCACCTTCAGGGCCTAGCAATGAGCTTTACAGCAAGTCGGAAATGGCGTCATCAGGCGACGATGCGGTAGACACGCGCATGGCACACAAAATCGCGGATCTGGAGAGAGCTCTCGCGATTGCGAAGGAGGAACAGGACTTGGCTAGGGAGGAGTTGGTGAAAGTGAGACAATACAGGGAAGAAGATCGACATGCGATTGAGGAACTGAGGGCGCAACTCGCTGAGTCGAGCTCGCATACGGATCGAGTCCCACCGGCACAGCTCGAAGAAAGGATCGCGTCGCACGATAATACGCGCCAACACCGCCTCGAGCGACCACAGTCGAACGGCGAGGCAGACGACCTACGATTACGCCTCCACGCCGCCGAGAAGGAATCACAAGAGAGGCTCCAGCAGCTTCTCGCACTGAAGTCAAGCATATCTTCGCTCACACGTATGGATGCGCAGATAACGGATAGCGAGCTCGCAGAGTCGTTCTCACAACTTGCAAATCGCGTGCGCGAATGGACTGTGTCGAACTTCAGGCGATCGAAGTTGAACCTTGACAGCCTTCCGAAGGAGACGGAGGAAGTTCTCAGCGCGCTGAATCCGCTGTACAGTGTTAATATTCGCAGTACGGATAAGCTTGCGCTGTATCAGGCTATTGTGTCGAATTCGCTTATGCAGATCTTCGATGCTCCTATTGTGTTTGGGCTACCTAGCACAGGTCCTTTTGCTACATTGCGACCACTCGCGGAGCACACACGGCATCTGGGTATCACATATCGGGAATGGGTGCGCGCTACCGTGCAGGTACTCGAACGCAGCGAAGTGAAGCGAGACGTCGATACCGAACGAGAAGCCTCATTACACAGCCTCACCGGCGAGATCAGCCACATACTCTTCACGCTGACATCCGTCAGCCTTCTACCATCCGCTCAGTCAGTCCTCACTGGGATATTGAAGGATGCCGTGAGTCTGCAACGCACACTCGCCCTGCAAAAGGCGCGCTACCAGCTACTCTTCTTCCGCTGTCAAGACGCGAGTATGCAGTTCGATGACCGCACGATGGAAGCTGTCAACGACGTTGACCCTGCTGTGGAAGATGGTACTGATATGGATATGGATCGTAGATTCTTGTTCTGTGCGTTCCCGGGCTTGGTCAAGTGGGGTGATGAGTGGGGAGACCATGCGGAGATGAGTAATGTGTTGTTGAAGGCGAGGGTGTGCTCTGGTGTGAACTGAAGCAAGGAAAGGATGAATAGGCCTACCATGTTCTGGCTTTTCATAAGAACCAGAGTGATGCATGAATGACGCCAATGTACACCTCTTTCAACTTGACTGCAATCAAGTAGCGATCAATGTAAATCATGGCCAAACAGCGAGACTTCCGATTCCAAGTTCACCCTAAACAAAGAGAATTTCCTTGTGAATAAGTGATGTCGAAGATACGATGAACTCGCAAGTCACCTCGCTAATATAGTAGTACAATAAGGTGACCATATACAGACCCGTGCCTCTTCAGCTCTGGACACTGTGCCGCATTTCCAAATCGAAACCTATACAGAAGTTATTGGTATCCGTTGCATTCATTAAGCTCTATCGAAGCTCTTCCTTATCCAAGTTCAACATCGATGAGCTCCCGATCAGCTGCTTCCCATGCTTCTTTGGTGACAAAACCAACGCCCTTTCTGTAGGCGATACCATCTGTCCACTCGATCCAAAGAACATTGTAGAAATCTCGAGCTTCCGGGCAATCTCTTTCTAGATGGGTAAATGGACAGCCCGCGGGAACGTCCCCTACGAAAGTGGTCGATACTGCAATGAGTTCGACCAAAATGATCGGATAAGCTCCTTCAGGTGGTCTGTCTCCTGTATCCATCATCTTACCCGAAACTGATCCCGTGTCATCAACAATATGCGGGAAAAAACGGAGTGCCGGAGCTTGTACGCGGGCCCAAACCTTGTCTGGTCGGTATAGAGAAAAGTACGCGCGCTCAGCCCGGCAGGTGATTCTGTTCGAAGCTGGCCATGGTATCTTAACAGTATCTGACGTATTCACGAGTGGAATTGGGAAAGGGAACTCTTGTCCTGGGGCACATGGCGTGACGTAACAAAGTTTTCCGCGCATATCAGACTTGCTACGGGTCGACATCGTTCGGCTCCATCCTGAAGGGGGTGTACTTTTGCTGTCTTGAGCAAAATGCGTGTACCGATAGAGCTCGCTTTCAATCTTGGCCAGAAGTCCTACTCCTGCGCCGTTGTTACGCCATTTAACGAGTGGAGAGACGGACACGCCATCTGTACCGTCCAAGGAGAAGTAATTCCAATAGGGGTTACTCCCCCATAGTTGACCACGCCAGGTCATCCAGGACCAGCTTGGTGGCCTGCTACTCTTAGGGAAAGTTGGATCTATGTTCCTTCTTGTCGCGTTCGGAGGGACTGCCCAGAGAAGTGCAACATCAAAGAATAAAACGGGCAGACCATACAAGATCCCGCCAGGGAAGATCTTCGCAAGTGAAGAAGCAGTGCCTGCAAATGCTGCGACGACATCGGAATCATAGGTGAACTGCCTCGGCGAGTAACTGCGTATGTCTCTCTTGTATCGCGAGAAGTCGGGCCATCCATGTTCATGTGGGGGAGTACGTTGGTATCCGGGTTTATCGAGACATGTGGAGAACGCCTCAGTTACTGTTGAGGATCGTAAGTCATGCCAGGCAGCTCGGTGACATTCCCACGATACGCGATAGGGGTCATCCTCCCCTTTCCATGAGGCCTGTTGGTATCCGAATTTGAGAAAATACAAGATGCGTCCGGTAAATCTCTGCTCCTGAAAAGTCCTAAGATGAAACACAGGAACCGTTAACACAAACACATCTTTGCTCTGTGATACAGACGACGTTACCTACCATCCTCGATGATTCCACGCACTTGCATCGATTCTTTCGAGCACCCAGGGGTAAACATCGTCAACGTCGTGGGTTATTAAGTCCGATGGAGATCGATGTATCCATTGATCGAGGCAATCAACCAGGCCAAAGTCTGCCGTATCGCCGACGGTGGCGACGATAGTGAGGTACGAGTGGGCATAGATATCTGCCATATTCTGAATCTCCGACATTTTATGCTGCTGATCATCCTGGACGATACAAAGCTGGTCAACGAAGATGTATCGTTCCCCAAGAAGTCGTGTAACTTCCAGAGCTTCTCGTAACGTCCTAGGTAAGGTGACTACTTCTTTCGCAAGACTTCCTTGCTGCGTCAACCGATCGATGTTGTCTTTAACCAATTGTAAAGTCTTTACTCCGCCCCATACGTAGCTGAGGGTGACATAACGCTCGGCAACGCCCTGCACTACGCATTCGTCCACAACGTCGATGAGCCATGGAGGCAGTCTGACCCTGGTCTCTTTGGTTAAAACGCAAGGAGAGCCATGGTGCTCGTCGCACGTTTTGATCCAATCCTTCATCATGTCAAGTCGAGTCTCTTTCTCAACAGTGGGCTTCGCCGTCTCATCGTGCTCGTAAGTCGGTTTCGGGCCGTTCTCGACAGTGCCGTCTTGTAATGACATGGTGAAGGTTGTGTTATCCGGCTGTACGGACTCAAAATGGACGAGAGAGGATATGCGCTGTAAACGTGAGGTCAGGCCTTGCACTTTGACTGCGCCGCACGACGACATGCCCCGCACTCGTTCTAAAAGCTCCCATTGCACAGAACTCACAGGCCTGCCAAATGAAGACAGGGACCGACAATTCGTCGAAAGTTTGTGAATGTCATTACGATGTCTGAAAACGCTTTCTTGGACTGCAGAGGTTGGTAGATGATGCGTTTCTTCGTAGCACCGTGCGTTCCTTCTGGAGCAACAACGCCTTTTCATGGGCTGAGCCACGAGGGAAACCTGCGCACATTCGGTATTGTGTTGCTGATACATTGAACATAACCTTGGAGTCGTTGCTGTTAGTTGAGCACAGGAGCGCAACGATTTACGACGTGTCTAGCGTAGCGTGATGACGGAGCTCAATCGTGAGGATGTCGTGATGACGTCACACCTGGGCAGACACGATTGTACCTAGCCCTGGAGGTCTCTCACAAACCTTCGTCTTCACACAAATTCATGTGCAGCTATGTTGTACGTTCTCGTCCTCCAGAAGTAGCTTATGCGCATGCAGAGTGAATCTCGTCGAGCTGCACATGCACTGATTAGTGATAGGTCTGCCAGTGACGCAAACGCGGCAGTCGGACAGACCCGCTCTATATTTGTTTCATTATAAGGAGAGCCACGAGTCGCTACGTCCAACCAGACCGCTATTGAACTCGCCATCAAGTCACACTAGAACGATGTCGTCTGGCCCCAATACTGTTCAGTAATCTCAGAGCACCGGCAGAATTGGGGAGGGGCGGTGAGTGCCACCTCGCTACTATCGACGTTCTTGACCCTATACACAACATTGGCACTCTTTACGCACATCCGGAAACTATGCTTCTTCCATCCTCAGGTACGCCATGTTAGCGCTGAGGCTCCGAGAAACAAGCATTTTACCCCGGATTCCCAAGGTGCCAACCCAAGCTTTTCCTCGAGCTGCCTTTTAGCCAGAACGGTTCGGCTCCACGCCGGTACACCATCTGACCACGCGGCCGTAACGCCATCCATCTATCCAGCGCGCGATGTGCCGAAGGTACTATATGTTGCAGCTCTCTACTCGCTCGCTTGCTCGCTTTTCCCCCGAAGACACTGGGATTCATATGTACCCCAGACGAGCTCGGCTTGGTTCTGCATGAAACGGACGTGGAGCTACGGCAATAATCCCTGTCTGATCTTCGTCACAGGACGGCGTGACTTGCTCAGATAAATTGCGAAGACGGATGAAAGGACCATCTGTGCACCAGGAGAACGCAAACCAGTATTCTGTTCCCCACCGATATGCCATGGTGTATAGTCGAGGCAGACTGATTCTGCCTAAAGGACTGCTACTATGGCCAGGTGAAACTGGTCTTTATAAACACTTCTCCCGTTGCCCAGACTTGATCATCACGATTCCTTGACATCTCATCTCCATCCGAAGCAAAGTACCCACTTATCCAAACGTCAACATGAAGTTCGTCGCAGCAACAGCTCTCTTTGCTGGTATTGCCGCCGCCGGCCCCGTCGAGCTCGCCGAGCGCCAGAGTTGCCCCAAGGTCTACATCTTCGGAGCTCGTGAGACCACCCTGCCTCAAAGCAATGGCTACGGTACCGCCGCCGGACTCGTAAACTCCGTCAAGAGCGCCTACCCCGGTGCAGGATCCGAGGCCATCGTATACCCAGCTTGCGGTGGAGGATCTGCCTGCGGTGGCATTTCCTACGACAACTCTGCTTCTCAGGGAACTGCAGCTGTTGTCAAGGCTGTTACTGCGTACAACCAAAAGTGCCCTGACACCCAGATCGTCCTCATCGGATACTCTCAGGTATGGATGATGCCATGAAATCCAAGAAAGCCAAGTACTAACGGCCCGCAGGGAGGTCAGATCATGGACAATGCCGTGTGCGGCGGCGCGGGTTCCACATTGACCGGCACCGCCCTGGCAGCCGTCAAGGCCGCAATCTTCATGGGCGACCCCCACAACCGCAACGGTCTTCCCTACAACGTCGGTACCTGCAAGGCCCAAGGCGTAAGTCCACCCTTCCCTCATCCACAATTACTCTTACTAACATCTGCCTCAGTTCGCCGCCCGCCCCTCAGGATTCTCCTGCTCGCCTGCCAGCACCAGCATCATCCAGAGCTACTGCGACTCCCAGGACCCGTACTGCTGCAACGGAAACGACGCCAACCACCACCAGCAGTATGTCAGCATTTACGGAAACCAGGCTCTTACTTTCATCAAGAGCAAGCTCACTGCTTAGATGTGGTGTGGATGGGAGGAGTAGGAAGGGAGGATTGGTTGGTACCTTTGAATAGTGCCGCACTTCGATGTAAATATGAATTAAATGAGTGTGTATATGCCACAACATGCTGGGCTGCTTGCTTTGATCTTGCTTTTACTTGCACCATGCTACCATCTCTCGTGTCATAAAGGTATATACCATTTCTTTATCTATGACCCAGAGATTCTATCATCATAATCTACTCAGTGTAAAGACCGTAACAGCACCATACCATGCCAAACCCAACCGATCTCGCACTAAGAAGGCCTCTCTAAAACAAAAAGAAGAGGAAAGAAAAACAAGCCCCGAAGAATAAAAAAGAAGACCACTCCATCATCCCTATCAATCATCCCTTAACCCACTCCCCAACCTCAAACCCCACCCTCCTCAAATCCGCATCCGCAAACCTGCCTCCAGGCCCATACGCCTTCCAAACACTCAAACACCTAACCCCCTCATCCATCTCCGGTTTCAACCCCACCTGCCCCTCCTTCGGGTCAAAGCTCTTGACATACAACGTCAAATCGGGTCCTACAGTACCGCGCCACAGCGTCGCCATCCACTGCCAGTGGTCGGTTGGGCTGTAGGCGTCTTGGATGGGGATGCGGGAGGCGTAGGCGATGGAGGCGGCGAGTTGGAAGGTGGGGAGCAGGATTACGGGTTTGACGGTGGGGCTGGTGGAGGTAAGGGAGTGGGAGGGGGAGTCGGGGGGTGTGGCGGAGTCTTTGCGGGTGTCTTTTGTGGAGACGATGATTGTGTCGCTGTTGGTGGATGAGGGGGTGTCTGTGGAGGAAGTGGGTGTGGTGGTGATGTATTTGATCATTTCCCTGCTTTTACTGTGCCATTCTTTGATTAGGTCGAGGTAGTCTTCGAATGTGACTTCTCTGTCGGCGTTGTCGGTGGGGGCTTGCGGTGGCTCGGCGATTTGAGGGCTGTATTCCTTTTGCTTGATGAGGTATTCGTTGAGCCATTCTGTGAGTTCTTTGACGGCGGCAGGGTCGTCGCCTTCGATGGCGATGATGGCGCCGCGGTTGGCGCGGTAGGATGGGCTCGAGGAACCGGGCTCTTTGTATTGATAGGGAGGCGTTATACGTCCGAGGAGTTTGATCTTGTTGGGGTATGGGAAAGCACTGAGAACTTCCTCTACGCTCTTGGGACTGCCATCGGACTGTAGAGATCCCAGCTCAACCATTGACTGATGGCGCATCTCGCGAGGGGTCCGCGGAGGAGGCATCGTCGCACTGTGTGGCGTCACATGAATGGGCGGCAAAGACTCGCGTCGATAGACAGCATATTGCTGGATCGGGCCGTTATGCGATCCGTCTGGTCTACGACCGTTACTCGTTGGCGGAGGCCCTTGGTCGAAGCGGCGCTTCTTGTTCGGCGTCAAAGGGCTATACATCATCGTGTCTCCACGCATGGTCGGATTGAGCTGAATGTTACTGAGACTTGGTGGAATCGGGCCTCGACGATGACCGGGCGACTCAAGGCTAAGGTTACTCATCACGGGTAGGTAACGAGTTGTTGGCGTGAGGCCCTCCGAGATGTTAGGAGGCGGCAGAGTCGGGGTGCCAGAGGCGTCGAGGAAAGGACTGGTAGGTGTTCTCAGACTGCGGCCACCACACTTGTGACAACGGTACTTGTCAACTGTCGTATGCTGGCCAGTAGGGTTCAACGGTGACGATCCAGGTTTGCCAAGACGACGCGGTTGGTAGCGATAGTCGGGGTATTGTTCCTGGTGCCTAGCCTTCTCTTCCTAACTTCACGTTAACAAAGACAATGGAGGGTAAGGTGCCAAGGGCCACTAACCTGCGCAAGGTCTTGCCAAACCTTCTTTTGCTCTTCACCCTCAGCCTTCCACTGTTCACCGATAATCTTTGAGATATCAGGATTGTTGAGACCCGGATTACGAGCGGTAATGGCCTGCTGATGGTGCTGTCGATAAAGAATAAAAGCTACAAGGCAATGGTCAGCAGGCTGCGCAAGAATGACCGCAAACAATGATGGGTGTCTTTGTTCTGAGTCAAATCCGAGTCAAATGCTCCGATTAGGAAAGTGACGTACATCCAAGACAAAGGAAGATAATATCGACTTACCATTTCGCGGACGCGGTATTTTCGGCTCTGGCTGACACAAGCAAACATGCCCTGAGAAGTCTGGCTCGCCGCCAGCTGTAGCGGACGAAGCACTCGGGGGAGGTTTATCGTCAGATGGACTGATCAAGTCGTCGGCCTCGTCAATCTCAATCAGCGGCGAAGGTCTTTTCCTTGTAGTCCTCGGAGACGACAAAGCGGGAGAGGCTGGCGGCTCGTCCCTCTTAGTACGCTCAGCAGTAGGACTAAACGTGGAAGCTGGGCGCGTCTCGTTGATTCGACTGCTCTTGCGTAAGTTCCTCGAAGGCTTCGCATCGTCCATCGGAGACACTGGAGAGGCATCACCATTCTGCATGTTTGTCTTGACGTACCGCCTCGGCACGTGAAAGAAGGTAGCGACAGGCGGAGAATGGGGAGAAGAAGGAGTCAAAGTCCAAACAATCGGTGGCAACACTCGACTGGCTAGCATTTTCGATTTCTAGAGACGCGGCAGCTGACCTAATGACTCCGATGGAAGAAGGCGCGGTTCATTGTCCTCGGTCGGACACGAAGGGAGGGAATAGCCGCGTTGGTAAC